GGAGGGGGGGGGGGGGGGAGCTGGCTTCTGTTCAAAGGTGTGTTTAACCTTGGTAATTTGTCAAAACATTTTGATGCAAACACTTCTAGCGAGCAGGTATTTTAAGTCCCACTCAACACAGGGAGCGTCGGGTTTTCTGGAAACGTAGTGCCTTTAGCTCCTAACTTAGCTCCCCAGTTTTGACAGGAAAGTGAAGATGGCGTTAGCTTGGCCCACTGCTGTGGCCTTGCAGCTGTGCTTCATTTCTCCAGTGAGATTGGAGCATCTGTCTCAGCAGATGGGACTGTTAAACCTGGTGATTTGCTTTAAATAAAAACTTTATTCAGCTTTAAGCCATGCTCCCCTACCTCTAAATCAGTTGGCTGAGGAGGAGGATGTGGTCATATCATGGTAGGATGCATGCAACCAAGAAAGCGTTGCGGGGGGGTAGACTTCTTGTAAGTCCCAGCCCTTCAGCTCCTGTGGATTTTGTCTGGGTGGCGTTGGCTGCTTGGTACCAGTGTCTGCAGCTACTGATCACAGCAGTGCAGGATCCGGAGAGGCTTCCTCTCCCTCTTCAGTGCAGGATGTAAATTAGCTTATGGCAACTTGATAATTTAGTATGCCAGATGCAAACTGCGCAGTTGTTTCAAACACTGCACTGAAGGTGCTGCATGTTCAGGTTTGGAAGACTTGTTGAGTCGTAAACCTAACGTGACAAAGTATTTGGGCTCTGTTTTACCCTTTCCCTTTCTCCGCTCACCCCTGCCTCTGTACTATGTGTACTGTAGCACTGACTAGTCAAAAGTTGAGTAACAGCCTAGCTGGGTTCTAGCAGAAAGAAACTGTATCATTCCCTTCCTCTTTCTCCAGTTTGACAGAACTAGAAACCTGGAGTAGAAACCATTGGGATTCATTTAAAGCACTCTGGTATAGGTGATCCTAAGTTCAGAGCCTTACTTTATTTTCCTGTCACCAGAAAAAAAGAATGGTGGCAATATAATTGAAGGTGCTATGAAACCAGAAGACCAGAAAGATAAAGAAAGTGGGTGCAATACTTCGGTGCCCTCCTCTGATCAAAACCAAGGAACTGTAGAAGCCCAAAAGACGCCCCTGCCTTCAGACTGTGCTGATGAGGCTAATGCAAAGCCAGCTCAGAAAAAGATGGTTAAAGCAAAGCGTGGACCAAGGAGAAAGTAAGTGACTTCTGGAATTGTAAAAGCTTTTCTTCTGTCTGTCCTTTTGGAACCAGGCGGCTTCAGTCTGCGTTTTTCCTTCAGGAACTACAGTCAGACCTGTAATTAATGTTACTCTTGTTTTGTTGCCTTTTTTTAAGCAAATGGATATGTTGGGAGGAATAAATCTTAAAAGAGACTTCTTTGTTTTCTCAAGAATAATACCTTTGAAAATACAAAATAGCATCCAAAGTATTTATCTACCTTGCAGAGGACTTTTGTTTTTCTTGAGAGCAAGGCTAGTGTATTTTATCTCAAGTGAAATACTTGCTGATCACCTATAGAAAAAGAAATTAATGAGCCATTAAGACCTACTTTTCTATGGACAAATGGGAACGTATCTTGTCAGAAACAGAATATTAGATTAATTACAGTTGGAGGCTTCCTGGCTGAGCTGATACTCTTTCTCGTGATGTCGGAGTAATGTGACCTAACGTTAACAAATTCCTCGCCAAGCAGTTTTCATGACCTAAATTTTAGAGCGCCTTCTGGCAAGGCACACAGGGGGCTTCAGACTTGTAATGTGACCTTCAGGTGGTTTCCAATGGCATCTCACTCTTACTGTTAAAGAATTAGTACCAGAGTAATGGAAATAGCGTGGGGAAGAAAAGGGGATGTAGCTTTTGTCTTGAAGTGAAGAGTACTGATAAGAAACACTGGTTCATATTGATTACCTTTCAACATACCAAGCTGACAATAAAAATTTCTTACAGATACCTCTGTCCTAGAGGTGTAATGTCACAAATAGTCTGAAATACGCGTGTTCTCTATTTTTCTTATCCCTTAGAACGCAAGGAAGAACACCAAATCGAAAAGTGACAGATTATTACCCAGTTAGAAGAAGTTCCAGGAAGAGCAAATCTGAATTGGAGGTAGTGCTTCTTGTTAAAATAACATTACTTATAATGTTGCCGGTTAATTGTACGTTTGAGGAAGTGCGTAACTGTCTGTAAATGGTTTCCATTGGCCAAATGCAAATAGCATTGTGCACTGGAAGTATTGTTAAGAACATCCTTAAAATTTGGAAATGCTGATCCAGTTCCTCTAGGACAGAATCTAGCTGCTTATATATTTTGGGGGTGTGTCTCTTTACCATGCAGTTTGGCTAGAAATATGGGATGGTTTGGAAAAATGAGTGTCACTGGCTAATAATTGCCTTTTAGCTATAGAATAAGCTACAAAAACTACCAACAATACCGTGGTTTTGTTTGTTCTTGTTTCTTCTGCAGACTGAGGAGAGGAGGAAAATAGATGAGCTAATTACAAGTGGGAAAGAAGAAGGAATGAAGGTAACTGCAATGCCAATCTGAGTAGCCACGTACTGTTTATACAGTATCTTGCTGTTAATCTGTTTAAGCAGAAAGTAGCAGAACTCACTCTCGGAACTGCTGCAGTTCCTCGACAGTAAGGTGAAAGTGCAGCAGAACTGGAGCACGCCGTCTTTCCTGTTGGGCGGGCAATATTTGGCTCTGAAGAATATGTATGTGCAGCCTCAGTCATAAATATTGAGGGGGCTTTATAGTCTTCACTGAAAATGCACTTGCTCCCTTTAGTGTCTCATTTCTTGGGTTAGCTTCCAGAAATGGGGTTAGATACAGCATCTTAACTGTCATATGTTTTAAAGGTAACACCCGTATATACTGTCTGTATGGTAACAAATTCTCTTAGCCTGTTTACAGCCAGTCGCTGTGGGTCTTCATTGTGGCACTTGGGATAATGGGTTGTACTGGTTTTCCTCCCACTGCTAGCAAATACTAGTTATCGGGACCAAGCGCTTACCATTTGGGTTACTCTGACCCCCCTTTTTAGAATTTAAAGCAGAAATGGCTCCTGGAAGTGCAGAAGAGCTGTGATTCTTGAAAAGCAGCAGCCTGCAGGACAGTGATAGGAGAACTTTCTTGGAGTTGTCCAATTTACAGGGGGAGGCAGGAATAATAAAGTATCCTGGTGGGTGATAAATGTAGTTTCTGTGATCAGTCTTTCTGTTCCTCTAACTTTTTAACCTGTGCGTGCTAATGGTGATGGTGCACCTGAAATGGAAAATCTTACTGCCTCAGCTAATAGATAGTTTAAAAGAAAAAAACGGGTAACTCTTCTCTGTGTGTGGCTTATTTAAAGTAATTCTTAGCTCTCTGATTAGAAGAGTTTGTATCAAAAAACCTGGTAACTCATAGGGTGTGTCCCAAACTCATCCTGTATTTCTTCCGCAATGCTGTGCATTGTGCTTCTACAGCTTTGTCTGCAATACAAATACCCTGCTGTAGCACTTTTTAACGACAAATCACTCATTTCCTAGTGAACCGCATATTTGCAATCATGTAAATACTTTTTAATTTCCCAGCTGATTTTCTTTTCAACGCAACAGATTGATTACATCGATGGCAAAGGGCGAGGAGTAATCGCTACCAAACATTTTAATCGAGGAGAATTTGTAGTTGAATATCATGGGGATCTCATAGAGATCACTGATGCTAAAAAGCGAGAAGCTGTGTATGCTCAAGATCCATCCACAGGCTGCTATATGTACTATTTTCAGTACCTCAGCAAAACGTACTGGTAAGCTTCTCTTCCTTTAAGTGTGATAGTTGGGTGATAGAGGCTTCGAACGCTGCTAAGTCTTTTCTTGTTTTCATGCAAATTTTTTTTTTTAATGGGAATTAGGAAATTTTTTTGGAGCGCTGTTTCATGGTCCCAGAGCCTGCAGTACCTCTGGGCTAAAAGGAATGGTAGGTGACTCAAAGCCCTATTCTCTGAAGTCCGGCACAAGCTATATGGAGAGTTGTATCTGCTTGGATGAGACTTCTAGCTCTGCCATGGACTTCTGCCTAAATTTATTCTCTTGTAAAATTAACTACTCTGCCTGAGTTGCAAGGACTTTGTTTGAAAAGCAGTACGGACAAACTCAGTGGAAGAGAAACACTTCCTTCAGCTGTCTTTGACTGGGTCGTCTTCTTTCTCTAGTACCTGACACCCACCCCGTTTCCATGCTTCGTCCTCAATTTGCTGTATCATTTGCCCCAAACTCCAGTGCTCTCAAAGCAGCCACTCGGACCATGTTCTTTCTTCCTTGGCTGATGTTACTGGACACTGGAGTGTGGGTCACTTAACCTGTATGTTAATTACCTTGAAGCACCCTATATTCTAAGTGTCTGACTTGTAGTCTGGATGCCATAATGACAGCTGCCATAACAAATCTTTGCGCAATGAGGGGCACTAGAGCTTTAGTATCCAGGTCTCTGGAAGTTGGGCATTAGTTCTTAGGCATTCTCAGCCTCCCATGTGAGTAGAGACTCTTGCTGGCTTACTCAGTGGATACCACTTAGCTTGGACACAGCTTTCTTGAAGGGAGGGTATTTAAGGTATCAAGCCTTTCTGGTGGTGTTCTACATCTGGATTCTGCTATTCCTCATGAACAGCTGAGAGCTGCTTAGAAACAGGCAGCTCAAAAACATAGTCCAAAATTTTCCATTTTCTGGGTTTTGTGCTAACTTAATCTCCCAGAATTGCTTTAGTTTACTTACATTGCCATATTATATGCTGTCTGTTTAATCATATGAATATTCTGTAATGTTATGTTTTTCCTTCATTTTTCAAGCCTTGGGTGGATTTCTCATTCTTTATCTGATTTGCACTTTGGTTTTGGTCCACAAACGTGACTGCGTGATATGCAGCAACCCTGCCTTCTGTTCTTGTTCTTTCAGTGTTGACGCTACAAAAGAAACTAATCGCCTGGGAAGACTGATTAATCACAGCAAATGTGGCAATTGTCAGACAAAGCTTCATGACATTGATGGCGTGCCTCATCTCATACTGATAGCTTCCAGAGACATTAAAGCAGGTGAAGAACTGTTGTACGACTATGGAGACAGAAGCAAAGCTTCCATTGAAGCTCATCCGTGGCTGAAACACTAATTCATCTTCTTTGTTTGGGGTTTTTTGGTTTGTTTTTTGGACTGAGTGCTCTACAGAGAGTCAGTGGATTTTTTTTTTTTCCCTGTCCTCACTTTCCTCAGCTTTCTTAGTGGACTGCTTGTGGTGTTCTGAGCTCCTTAGAAACTACCTTTTTGCTTTGCAGTATTTAAATACCTATTACAGTTTTCCAGGCAGGCTTGAATAATTAATCTTAGATTGCCAAAACTTTTATATCGTAAAAGGAAACCCTCCTTAAAATTCGAATACTTCTGCATAGTGACCAGTGCCACTTGAGCATGCAAAGACTTGCACAGAAACTTAATCACTTGGGTTGTGCTTCTGCTTTTGCAATGAAATCTCATGCTCCACTTTGTGGGGTGACGAACTTGGCATTAGCTTTGACAGCAGATGTACTTCTTACTCTGACTCGTACATCCAATGGCTTGACTGCTTGTCAGACTGCTTTTTACAACCCAGTGCTGACAGGCTTCTCTGAGGTGGATGCTACTATCGTTCTCAAATAATTTGTGGTAGGGATCCAGTTTTTCCAGTGTCGTATCTCGTGTTGGCGATGAACTTTAAATGCACTGGCGCTGAGGGAAATGGATGGTCAGATTGGTTGCTTTCTTCAGAGAAATGACTCCAAGCCAAATGAGGATGGATTTTGATAGACTGGGTTCATACTGATTAGAAATGTGAAGATAGAACTTCACAGTGAGAATCAATGTTTGACATGACTTATTTTCTAAAATTTAAGATGGTACCTTTTTATAGGTGATGGCTGCTTCTTGGAGGTGTCTCCCAGAGGATTTTAAAGAAGTAAAAGAAGAAGCTCTCTCCAAAAATTTTTTTATTACCTTCCTATGCTAATTAGCCACATCAGAAGCTATTTATTTACTGTGAATGCTTGAAGTAGAGCATAGCGGTTCCAAAAATAGGAGTCATCTTCATATGCAGCTTCAAACTGTAATGATGGAGTTCATGCAATGAAGAAAGTAGATTCCTTATTGCCTGGTCCTGTAGGTCTGTCCAGCACGGTCTGGTCCCACTGTCTTAAATGAGAGTTGAGCGCTTAGCGTCTTGCGGATGTTTGCATTGTCACTGTTGGAGAACCAAATCTGTGATATAGGCGGGCAATACAATGCGGGTCCTTTATGTTAAAGATGAATTCTTACCAGTTGGAATTTTTGCCAAGGCAGGCTTGGCATGCGTGTAGATGAAAATGGCTGTGAGCCATCAGCCACGCTTGCTGCTGGGAGATGTCAGCAAGGGATCTGTGGCTCTGTTAATGTCTTCTGTTCCTCGTGTCTTGAAGGCTGCTGCTCTTCCAGCTAATGCCCTCTAGGACAATCTTATATGCTTGCCTATGTGATAGGTCAAATAGCAACAACATCCTGGTTGTATGCTCCAGCAGCAAGAGAGGTGGCTTAGTGATGTATTTTTTAAATTAAAAACTTGAAGACAATGTCTCTGTAAAATAAAGAATATATTTATTATCGATGAAGTGGCTGCTATAGTACCTGTCTCCATTGCAGATCATTAGCATTTTGAAAGAAAGCTGTGAAAATCATTAGCCATTAAATGCTTATATTATTTACCACTTAACACGAGGCAAGCTCATCAGAGCCAGCCTGTGTATTTTCACCATTTCTGAAGAATTAACTGGAGACCTGTTACCTTACATGTACTGAGTTACAGGTAAACTTCATTGGCTGACTTAAAATTGAGTTGGCACTGATTTTTCTCTGGTCTCAGTAACAGAGACTACAGTCATGTGTACGGTATCCCTTTTCACTAGAGCACTTCCCTTCAGTCAAAATTGGAATAAAATGCTTCTTTTGTTGTTTTTTTTTTTTTATTTAAACATTTACTTGTTCTCTATTTTTTTTTTTTTTTTTTTTTTTTAGGCAAGCTCATCAGAGCCAGCCTGTGTATTTTCACCATTTCTGAAGAATTAACTGGAGACCTGTTACCTTACATGTACTGAGTTACAGGTAAACTTCATTGGCTGACTTAAAATTGAGTTGGCACTGATTTTTCTCTGGTCTCAGTAACAGAGACTACAGTCATGTGTACGGTATCCCTTTTCACTAGAGCACTTCCCTTCAGTCAAAATTGGAATAAAATGCTTCTTTTGTTGTTTTTTTTTTTTTATTTAAACATTTACTTGTTCTCTATCAGGTCAAATAGCTTAAAACCTTTGTTCTTCAGCATCGCTTTTGTAAAAAAGAAAGGGGGAAGATCTCTCCCTATTTTACATAAAAAGAAAATTGTCTTCTCTGAAATGCTTAACTGGTAATCAAGTAGCACTGCATCCGAAGATGGTAATAAAGCTGATGTTGCACTGCATATGTATCCTTTACTTTTCTAGGAACTGAGATATATCTCTCTCTCATCTCTCTCTCTCTCTCTCAAGATACTTCTCAGAGAAACATGCCATTTGGATTTTTATCTCTGTGCCTTATAGGAAGGTTTCATCTTGTAACGAGGTGTAAAGCACCTAGCAGGGAAGATGCCCTTGGGCTGGGAGCTGAACTGCTTTTGTCAGGCTCGGGTGGCTTTGCCAGAGGCAGCGGGGTTCCTCTAACTGTAGCCTCTTCTGTTGTAGCCGTAGCCAAGGAATTTGCTCCCCTTTTGAGAGAGAAGCTGTGCAGCTCACTTGGCACCGGAGTGGATGCAACTGTGATGGTTCCAGAAAAAGACTAGCCCCAAAAGGTTGAGGTGCTCTCCTGTCTACTGTAACCGGTGAACTCCCACCTCTTCTTTTTTTTTTTTTTTTTTTTAATAAAGAACATCTTAAATGGTAAACTGAAAAGAATAATTGCAGCTTTCATTGTTGTCTCCTTCAACTAACTGCAAAGAGTGGCCTAGGGCTATGGTAGTCTTCTGTGCCCCCGTGGCAGGTTGTTACTTTTGCACGGCTCTGTTTAATCTGTGCAGTTTATTACCTGAAGTTGTTATTATTAAGACTTAGTAGAGCGATTAGTGTGTTTTGGGGCATAATTCCCCCTACCCCCCCTTTTTAAAGGAGATTGGAAAATATATCCCTGGATAAACCACAGAAGAGGATGGAGTTCAGAGCACACATAAACATCTCTTTTCAGCTTAGAGGTGTATCCTGGCTGTTGCTGATGCGTGATTGTTTGGTTTTGGTTTTTTTGGTTTGTTTTTTTTCTCGAAACACAAAGCCTCTGCTAAGGAAATGCAGTAACTTCCTTCCCTGCTACTGTGCTCTAGAAAATAGGTTGCGGGGACATTCCCAAGGCTTATTAGTATTTTGAAGATGGCAAAAGGACTTCAGCAGTTCTGTGCCCTGGCTAAACCAGCTTGCTTAGGTCAGACATCTTTGATGGTGCCTTGCTAACGTACAGTTGCTAACAAATTCCCTCTGAAAGGAGACTGCAATTCTGCCTTCTGCTAAGCCACATTCGCGTTGCGCATCTGAGCAGATGCGTGAAGCGTCCTATATTTTTCATGCTGCTAGTGTATGAGAGGGAATCAAAAGATTTCAGAACCTGCTTTCACTTCTGAAGAGAGTAAGATCATAGTTTGATACCTGTCACTGCTCCTTTTATGTCTGTTCAGACTTCTGCTCTTGAAATTCTACTTTTCTAAATGTGGAACCTAATTGGTATATTTCAAGCTGCTTTTCTATTCCTCTGTTTGCCCTATATGCTTCTGCTAATGATAAATCTCATTACTTGGGCTAACGCACAGCTTGTGACAGTTGACTGAAAGAACAGAGCTTATGAAAAATACAACTGTCTACCACAGGAGACCTTTAGCTGTCAGAAATGAAACGTTTGGTGCATCTGTTCCAGTTTCAGAGGTGCAGATGTGCTCAAAAGACATCAGCCCTTCATGTGGGTAGAGCACGATGCCGCAGCTTTTCTTCCCTTGCTGTGCTCCACCACCTTTCATCTCGACCCCAAACGGCCACTCCTGTGTGTGCAGGGGTTCTGCTGTCGCAGCCCAACTGCGTCTTCCTTCGGTGGGGCGGGGTGTGACAGGCTTCTGCCTGCTGCTGCCCATCTAATGCAAAGAAAGACACAGAACAAAAAGCAATGCTGGGGTCTCTCGAGCAGTTCTGTGTTAGCGTTCGCGTAAGAGCGGTGGGGACTGCAATCTGCGTGGGTTCTTCCTTCCCAGCGCTTCTCTATGAATGCGCTTGTGAAAATGGCGTGTCTCTTAAAAAATATCTTCGTCTTGCAAAACCATTTGGGCTGAGCATTTTGATAGGTGGACAGGATAAATAAGTGGTAGTACAGATCATCACAGGCTCTTTTAATAAGAATAAAAAAATCACCTTTGTATAAACATTTATTCTCTACATGTGGGTGATGTCTGGCCGGAATCTAAGAAATACAAAAAGTGTCTGTCTTAAACAGTTTCTAAAACAGCAAAGTAAAATCTATTCTGAAAGAATATTATACAACACAATTTTTATGAGATTGCTTATTCTCTACAGTAGGAGTGATGCTTTTTCTTCCAATCATTGACTCCCCTAACGCCTTAGGAGCTCTCATCAGTGCCATTTCTGAACAGAAGTGGTTAAGTTCTCAAGGATGCTCATTTTCCATGTTTAAAAGAGAACCTAAAAAAAAAAAAAAAGACAACAGAAAGGAAACAATAGCGTCCAACTGGAAAAGAAGGAACATGCAGTGAGACGGCCGTGTCAATGTGTTCCGCTATTTTGGGGAACTTCAGGAACAGCCTGGGCTTGTGGGTACTGCGGACGGCTGCTTCATACAATGTAAACAAACCTCCAGGGACAGCTGGCGTGTTCCTACAGCAGAGTCTTAATGCGCTAGCAGGGGAGGCAACTATAGCATAGTTTTGCTCCAAAATGCTTATTTTTTCCTAGAAAAAAGTGATGCCCTGCTTGCCTGGGTGGAGGTTGTCTTCCTGTGGAGTGCTTTTTCCACAGGAAAGGATTTCTCTATCTCATTTTAATTTTACAGGGAGAGGAGGAGAAAACAATATCCAGCCAACTAGGCCACAGTTCAGAATTCATCCCTGGACTCACTAAGTATGAAGCGTGCCATATTCTGCCATATTCTGCCAAAAAAGATGCAGACAAACTTACAGCCGTTTGATGATTGTCTTCTCTTCGCTGTCCTTGCTGATGCCAGGGCTGCTGCCATTGCCCTCTTTTTCCCGTTCTTCAGTTTGGTCCCTTCTCTGTGAGATGATCCCGCTGGGAAAAGAAGAGGGTTTGTTTATTTTTTGTGTTTTTTGGCATAGCGTGGCATTGCTGTCTGTGTTAAACCCTTCACTGGGCAGCCCAGGACGAGGGTGAATGGGTGTTCACGGCACAGGTACGGCAGCCTGGCCTACTTCTTGTAATGAATTGCTCTTCTTTTCCTTTAAATAGCGCAGTGTGGTTTTGCTTAGGCTATGCTTTAATGAGAACACTAAAAAAGTAACAAGCTGACTTCTCCGCAGAGGAAGAATGGCAAATCGGAACAGGAGTGAAAGGGAAGTGTAATTACACGTTGGATCTGTACAAGAGTACAAAGATAACAGTAGGGCGCAGACAAATGGCAAATTTCTGCTTGGGTGGATCTGTGGTACCTTCAGCGCAGCCACGAAGGCTCGCACCACGCAGCTGGGAACAGATGGGAGATTCCCAGCTTCCCTGCAAGGCTGTTCCCCTTTCCATCCTACGGAGGAGAAAAGAAAGGCTTTGCCTGAGCTGTAGATTTTTGTCATCCTACTTCGATGCTGCCGCACTCTACAAGGTTGTAACCGCCTACTTTAGGCAAAAGCTTCAGTTTTACCAAAGGATGTTTCCCCTGCTTGGAGTTGGGTTAGATTTTACCAGCTTGCATGCTACGCTGTTTTCACAGCATGCCAATTTACTGTCCTGAGCTGACCTCATTTATCTTGAGAGCAGAGTGGATCAAAGCTTGTGATTGCAGTAGCTGAAGGCTGAAAGTAGCTAAGCAACACTCGTCTGGACCTTGGAAATAAAAATACAGGAGAGTATCTAGAAACTGGTGTGACATCAGGCATGGGATAATTCTGAGGCAGATTCTCATCTTAGAGAAGCCGGACTATGAGCTGTTTGGTGACACTGCCGATCTCTAATATCTGCACGATAACTTCTACTCAGAAATCACGATTGAAAATGCAGTCCCCAAACATCATCAGTCATTTTAAGCCATTCTCTGTGAGGATGTCAGTTACCTCGTGCTATATGGGGCTTATTTCCAGTATACCCGAGACATTTTAGAACATGTATTTATCCTCTTCCCCTGCACAACTGCTCTTTATGGCCGTACGATTATAATTAGGATTTTATGTGAATGTTTAAAGGGAAGATGGTTTTTGGCTTAAGCTGTAACGCTGTACGAGGAGATAACCACATAGAATTACTTGAACTGAAAAGCAGCCTTGACACACTCTCTAGGTGCACAGCACTGTGCCTTACATCACTCAAAAACTGAAAACATTCACACTGTTAATTTTTAACTTGGCCTGTAATAAGCTGTGTAACACAGCTGGGAAATCAAAGCAAGAAGCCATTCCAATGGCCGCACAGCAAAGGCCGGCAGCTGAGCTGGGGTAAGCGGTGCCTCACTGTGCTGTGAGAAGTGCTGGAGAGCGGTTTGTAAACTGACTTCTTGGGTTTAACTTTAACTTCTTGGCTTAACCTGCCTGTTACAGACAAGGCAAAAGGCGGGCTTACTGTATCTAAGAGGTTGTTGCTGAGATATCTCAACTGAAATCTAATGTGCTCAGGCATTTTGTGTCCAGATTAAGAAGTAGTTTCTTGCCCTGAAGGGTTTGTAATACAACCTGATGAGGAGGGGCAGAGGCTGGGGGAGAGCAGCCTTGGAGTTGAGGGAATTTGTAGCACCAAGAGCGAGGACCTTCCTGCATCCCACCCTTTGGCTCACACTGATTCTGCCAGGCTGGTCCCTTCTAGAAAGACCAAAATCCTTCTCTGAGAGCACTTGTTTCGCACAGTTCAAGTGCCTTGCACAACCCTCTGTTGGCAGCCTTAAAAAAAACCCCACAGCTTATCTTGTATGATGAGGAAAGGGCTTAATATTCTGCTTTCTAGATTAATGCCGTACCCACTGTGGGAGCAAAGGAACAGGAAATAAGCTAGTGTCCCCGATGGCAAGCTGGGGGAGGAAGGAAATTTTGACTAAAGCTGAGATGGAAACCCCCATGCTCTTTGGTCTGTAGCGTGGCTTTAGAGAACAGCAGTATGCGCGCAACTGCTGTGACTGCATAGATGAATTCATGTGCCTGAGGTGGAGTGGGAGTAGCCGTACGTAGGCTCACAGCAGTACAATTACGGGAACAGGCTGCGGACTAAGAGGGAGTTTAGTTTTAAAATTATGTTGCACAGAGACTTCATCATTCCCCCATTTTTCTTTGGTCGTTTGTAGGCTCTTGGGAGCACAGATGTCTCTCATATGTCTGGACAGTTCCTAGCCCAATCTAAGTGCTCAAACCTGCAATACTCTGGTCTGGTAAGCCCCCCAGACAAGAAGTAATTGTTATTAGTTTGTTGCTGACTTCACGATATACCTCTTATAGCACTGTAGCTCCTCTTGCACCACAAGAAGCTGAGCTTTCAGCTGGTTACGCTCTTGCAATACATCTCGCAGCTCCTGTAACGTGAACCGGGGGCGATTTGGATCTGTGAGGTCTATTACCATTTTATCTGGTCCAAGGCTGAGCTGTAAAATAAATGGTGGCGGTCATGATCTTGTAACCTGTCAAAAACAGGGTACTCGTAGAGTAAAAACTCTGAATTTTATAAATATGTAGTAATTGTTAGAACTAGTATGAGTTCCTCACAATCCTGATTTTTTCTAAGCAGTTAATTACAGTTTTTCCCATTATTTTTGTATTCCCTTGGTGTCTGCGTTTCCCAGCCAAGTATAGGGCCCAACTGTGACAGGCTCTGACCACAGCTAAAAGCAAAGTCTCTGTCCCAAAGAGTTGGCAATCTAGTTTGCCAAGAAGCTGCTTTTATCTGCTTTTCTGATGATGAGAGAGGCTGCGCAGTCTGTCTAATGTCACATGAAAACTCTGTGGCAGAGAGAGGTGAGAACTGAATTCTCCTTTCCTAATTTAAGACTTTTGTGGTAATGGCTTTTTCGGTCACGGACATCAGTTTCCTTTGCACAGAGTAACAAAGCTTTAGCGTTTGCATAAATGGCAAATCGTGTTTACGGGGACGGTGCTGTGTAAGAGCTGTACAACGGTGGATTTGTACTCTGTGAAAATCTGCCCGTGTGTGTCTGAACTCCTCTGTTAGCACTGCACGTTGCTGAGCTAAAAGCGTGGTTAGCCGCTACAGTGAAACCGGAGCGAGGGATCCACAGCACTGCGACTTGTAACAGCCCTGCAGATCTCTGCTCTGGAAATGGCTCCAAGGCCACCTACGAAGGCAAGAAGCAAACTTTCCAAGACTCATTCTGCTGTGATAAAAGAGACCGGCGATTGCGGCAAAAGTATCCTCCGACCCATCTGGTGTTAGGGTGGGTTTCACAACCCGCACGCGGTCAAGTGGACAGGCCACAACCTATGTTGGGGAAGGGGCCTCTGGCCACGTGCCACCTCGCAGCTGCCGACCCCGCTGTGCTGCACGGCGGGCGCCCACCACGGCCCTGGCACCCACCTGCTGGGCGCTCCCTCGGGACCCCTCTTCCCGCAGCGTCTCCACCTCCCGCCGCAGGCCGTCCCGCTCCATCCGCAGCTGCTCCTCGGCGAGGCTGCTCTCGCTCACCAGCGCTTCCAGCATCTCCAGCACCCTCACGATCCTGAACTGCAGCCGGGCCAGCGCGGCGGGCACCTGCGGCCCGGCGCTGAGCTGCAGCAGGTCCCGGCCCACCACGGAGGAGATGTCATAGACATCCCCGGGCGTCAGCTGGAAGGGGCTCTTCTCCAGAGCCCTCTCCGGCCCGCCGTCCGCCTCCTTCTCCTCCTCCAGCTCCTCCTCCTCCTCCCGGCCCTGCTGCATGCCCGGCGCGGC